GAGGAAGAACCAGCAGCATACCTACAGGCTGGGGAACTCCCTTCTTGTCAGTGCAGAGGCAGAAAAGGACCTCAGTCATTATTGATGCCAAAATGAGCACGGGCCGACAGTGTGGGGACGCAGTCAGGCAGGCCAACCACACCTTGTCATGCGTCCCCAGATGCATCTTGAGCAGGTCCAAGGAGGTGATCCTCCCCCTCTATGCGACATTGGTCAGGCCACAGTTGGAGTACTGCGTCCAGTCCTGGGCGCCGCACTTCAGGAGGGATGTGGACAACATGGAGAGGGTCCAGAAGAGGGCCACCCGCATGATCAGGGGTCAGCAGGGCAGGCCCTACAAGGAGAAGCTACGGGACCTGAACCTGTTCAGCCTGCACAAGAGAAAGCTGAGGGGGGGATCTAGTGGCCGTTTACAAACTAGTCAGGGGGGACCAACAGGCATTGGGGTAGTCCCTGTTCTCCCGAGCACTCCCAGGAGTGACAAGAAATAACGGTCACAAGCTGACAGAGGCTATATTTACACTAGACATCAGGAGGCACTACTTCACAATCAGGGCGGCTACGAGCTGGAACCAACTTCCGAGAGAAGTGGTGCTGGCTCCTACGCTGGGGGTCTTTAAGAGGAGGCTAGATGAACACCTTGCCGGGGTCGTTTGACCCCAGTACTCTTTCCTGCCATGTCAGGGTGTCGGATTTGATGACCTGCTCAGGTCCCTTCCAACCGTACAAACTATGAAACAGTAGCTACTTGTTGGCAAAAGCAACAAAACCAGTCACTTACAGAGGAAACAAACTTATAGATTACTGACAGAAACTTTCCTAGACTAGCTGAGAGACCATAATATGAACAACGATACAACTTCCTTCCATTTGCCGAAGCAATCAATACCCACCAAGGTAATCCTCCTAAGACTCAGAAGGATTCCCCCTCTCTGCTCCCCACTTCCGTCCCAACTATTCAGCCATGTAGCCAGTCATTTAAAAACTTAAGGAACACTACCAAGCCCACACTGTACAGAGAATTAAGACACCAGTTCATAAATAGTGACAATAAAACGGCAAAAAAACCCAACAACAATAAAAACATATGCTCAACAAAGCCTGGAAAAACATAAAACAAGTACCATTGCTAACTTTTTTTTGCTGGGCAGGATTTGTGTTCATTGTGTTACAAATAAAGACCAAGGACTAGGTGGCACAAACAAGGATGCAGATTAGCTGTGTCAGGAGAACACATATTAAGAATTTACCTACTCGATTTCCCATAATAAGGACCTGGCCTGCTGGAGGACACCAACTGATGAAGATGTATGGATGTATACTTCAGGAGACATGGACACAAAAGGTTATTGACAGAGAGGATACCTGACTATCCACCTCAGCAAGTGACACATGTAAAGCTCTAAACCCACTTTGCCAATTTGTGGAAGCAAATCTCTATGAAGACTTTGGCTATTTTTATCAGATAAAACGATGTGGTTGAGAAAGGAACTGTTCACAGAAAAGCCAAGATATCAGTTGCATGAGACCATGTGCTTGTTTTGCTTTTTAAAACTGTCTTCCCTGTTCTGCTGTTTCATAGTTCTCTAAGGGAGTTGTGTATGTTGCTGTTGTTTATGCTGTTTTCATAAGACGAGTGTTTGAGGGTTTTTTTTGCTCTGATGTTTATTGTGCTGCTGCATTATAATAAAACACAACAACAAACCTACATTCTTTGTTGCCTGCAGCACTTTATTTAAAGCCTTTCAAAATTACATTAAGCTGTATCAAAGCTGTTTCTCGTAATTATACAACCTGCTTGGTTTTTCGTTGGTTTGTTTTGTTTTGGTTTTTTTTTTTTTTTTTTGGGGGGGGGGGGGGGGGGGTGGACTGCTTTGCGGTGGGGGGGGGAAGGTTGCCTAGTTCTCAAGTTGCCCTAATTGTCAGGGGAAAGGACTATGCCAATATCCAGAACCTACTGTATTGTTCTTTAAAGTTAAATAATTTGTTCCTTCCCTACATACTGCTCAGGACTTTTATTTAAAAAAAGGAAAGTAATCCTATCCCCTCCCTACCTCTTAGCTTGGCTAAGCTGACACAGATCAAGTTAATAATTTCCTCTTACACTATCAGTTTTCTATTTTGCTTTTATTCCTAGTATCCTTCCTTGCTCAGTGTAAAATTCAGCTTTTTTAAAGGCAAGACATATGAGCATATATAATATTCTAAGTAGGGGTCTTACTAATAACTATTTATACCACTTGACAAGGTAACTTTCTCCGATAAAGATCCTATGCCTAATGCATGCTGGAACTGCATTTACCTTTTCAACAGCCATGTTATACTGACAGCTCATGTCTTTCTAGTATTAACTGGTACACCCAGCTCCCTCTCATCCTATGTGGCCTCCAGACAAAAGTGCTTCCTATTTGTTCCCAACTGCATGACTTTGGACTTCACACTACTGACATTCATAACAGTATTTACTACTCAGCTCTATAGGGTTTATCCAAGTCTTCCTCTGTAGCAATCTAATTCTTCTTCAGATTGGCAATAACCACAGCTTTATATTATGTGCACGTATCACATAGACTTATCTAGCTCCTGCATCAAGGTCTAATGAAAATAAAAAGAACTGGTTCAAAGACTGATCCCTAAAGAACACCACTACTACTAGCCTCTTTGCCTTGTGATAGCTCATTTTTTTAATATAACCTTGCTAAAAGAGATCATGACAAGGACTTATCCACCTTGTAATTATGATATTAACTGCAGACTTCTTCAGGTTAGCTAATAATTTAGGGCAGGGCAGCATGTAATACTTAGTTTAAAACTCGACTGGGTTCACTGCATTGTCCTTTGTCTGAGGATATTGGATTAATCTGATGCAAAAACTTTCTTTAGATAAACCCATGTTGTGTTTTTGTCCCTTCTTTGTTTACCTCCATATCCTTGATTCTTCTTTCCTGAAGAATAATATTATTGGTTCTAAGACCCTGCAGGATACTGAAGTCAAACGAATGTGCCTTTAAATGTCTACATCCCTTTTTTGACTATACATATATTTATTGTTCTCCAGTCAGGGTACTAGTTCCAAATTGACATATTAGTTGAAAAGCTATGTCCGAAGGGCGCTCTAGGGCATACCAGTTCCTCAAATACTTTGGGATAGATATTCTCTTGGGCCCTGTATTTAATCACAGTCCACAATTTATGCTTTGCTTCCAACTCAGGCAGAGCAAGCTTCATTACAGAAACCTTATTCCTAATTTGTACTCTACCAGTGTCTTCATCCTTACTGAAGACTCAGACAAGGTATTAATTCACTATTTGGACTATTCCTACATTATCCTCAACTTCCATCACATCTTCAGTGTGTGGCAGCCCAAGTTCTTCCTTCCTAGGTCCCTTTTTATTTATGACAGAACTTATATGGATTGTTTTAGTTTTCCTTGTAAATCCAACTAAACTAAGCCACTGAAGAACACTAACCAGTAACAATGAATGGAGTAGGTTTCTGGGCTGCCATCATTAAAGCCCACATCACATTGCATTTGCACAAACTGGTAAAAGAATGTTATACATGAACTTAATTCGATGCAAGACACCACTCATTACAATCCCCATAATTGTGCACTCCCTACTTTTTGGACCAGTATAACAAATGCCTCGTAGCACCTGAGAGATAAGGAAGAACTATGTCCACCCCCAATTTACAGCTAGGAAATTTAAATATCAACCCAGCTGCACAGAAGAATCTGTGCCAGAAATTTTCAACCCAATTTCCTATGTCTGGGCTAGTACCTTAACTTCTAGACCATCCTTATCTCAAATCTTAAAAATTTTGAATACTGAAGTTTACAATTTTAGGATTCCTTCAAATCTTTTTCTTTTTTAATTACCTGCAAAAACCAAAATCCCATGACAGTCATTGCGAATGATTATGTGAATGACAAGTTAGAACATTCTGATCCACAGTATCACTGTCACACTTCAACATGGTAATTCACAACTGATCAGTAGGTTTCAATGCTCTTTGACACTACAGGATTTTCATGTCCTATTTCAAATTTTAAGGACAGTGTAGAGATTACAAACCTTAAAAGACACACTTTCTTCTTCTTGCTCTGTCCTTTCTGTCACTGACCCTACCAGTTTGTTCTTGTCCCAATCCTTCCTCACTTGCACACACACATGCAGGTCCATGTCTCAATCCCTATATAACTGTTCCACTTCCGCGGCATTCCAGAAAGTCCTCTGCCACTGTCTCCTCTTCACTCCAAACACCAGCAGCATAAAGAGAGGAAATTCTCCTTGTGCAGTTACCATTCCTAGAACAGCAGCTCCATCTGCCAAGAAGAGACTACAGGAATAGCAACCCAGCAATCCCAAGCTGCAGCACATCCAGGACAGATAGAATCTTTAGATCAATTACCTGGCAGCCCCCAAGCAACCTCTCAGCATGCAGAAACATTTTTTCTCAAGGTTCGTAACTTGGAAAACTTACCCAAACAGTACCAAGAGACAGCAAGATTCAAGACACTCATACCAAAGCAACCCCCTTTATCAAAGATCAAGTCCTTGCTCCAAACCATGGAGACATTACAGATTCTCCAGAAAATGTAAAGATTTTATTAAGTGGGAAAAAAAAAATCTCTTTAACCTCTGTTTCTAACACACCTTGAAAAATTTTGCTGAAAATTTCTGAAAAAGTTGAGGCAGATACAGCAAGTACAATTCCAGCTGAAATAGTTAATTTTGACAGTCATGATAAATCAGGATCTTAAAATGGAAGGAATCAGACATTACTACATGCAACATCTATAATACAAGAATGGATCAACACTAAAATACTGAGTGAATTTATCAAGATGCTTGCTTGCACATAATCACGGAATCAGATAAACAATTCCCTCCATACTCGAACACAGACTCTTTCTTCCCCCATTTCCAAGTCTGCTCTTCATAACAAATGGGGCAGGCCTCACGTTCCAGGCAAACAGCTGTCTAGTAACACTCACCTGAGTCTTACGGTTCTGCCTCATTTATGTCTTCTTTGTAGGATGTAATGTCTCCCACCAAAGGATCCTCCCTTAATCCACTGCCGACTAAACCAAGCTTTCATTATGGTAAAGCCAACAAACAGAACTATTTGCAGACACAAAACATAAGAAACGGTTATCAGTTTTATGTAAAATGTTATTTGTAAGAGACAACTCAATTTCAACAGCTTTAAAATAAGACCCCAGCTGCAATGATGCAGAAACCCCAGAAATTAGTTTCATGCATTCCAAAAAACATGCATTTCCATGCAATGCATAGCAATTAAAAATGCTGGCCAAGGCTGCTAGAGTAGCACAAGGTGAAGCCTCTCCCTACAGCAGACCTGCATTCAAATATCTTTACTGAATAACAAAGAACTTTTGTAGACAACTGAAGCCACATTCATATCTTCGAGATTTTCTGCTGACATTTTGTAAAATAAATAATCTACATTTTAATAATCTGTTAGCAAGAAAGAACTGTTGCACATCCGTTTCCTTCGTAAAACGATAGCAAGCTACTTTGCAAAAGAAGCATAATAGGTAAACTGAAAACCAATGATTTTTTAAAGCCAAACCTGACCAGTAGAAATAGTCAATACCCATGTAGCTGTCTCTGAAACAGCGCAATTTAAAAAGCTACCTATCTACCTTTGGATAGTTTATGAACTGCACAACAATCACACAGACGCATCAAATTGAATTATTCCATATTTTCCATTGATCATCCATTCAGATTCAGAAGTTGCAAGTTGTTCACCTTGCCCAGGTTTCAGACCAACCTGAATTTCAGCTTTTAGAGTTCTTATGCTGCAGAGAGGTGCAGGATGAAATTTGTTCAAGGCTTGATGAAATGGAACTGTAAACTCCCATTTTCTATCTCCTGTTAGTTTCCTATAGTTCAGATCACCTTTAAAAATAATTACACTTGATTTCTGCAGTTCAGCATACAAGTCAGGAGCAACCTGAGCCATACTAGAAAATTCATGTGGCAGAGTCCAAAACATGTGATCATGGTAAACCCAAACACCTTTTTTTAAATTCCCCTCCCAATTCATCCCACATCTAGACATCCACATATGATTAGCTGACTGCAGTTGCTTAAGAGTCCAGTTAAAATCATGCTTTGTGGTATCCGATACAAACCACGGAATACATTTTCCATGGAAATGGACTTCAGTAGCTAACTTTGATGACGACAAGAAGTTAGCCAGTACTAGATCAGTTATAAGTTCAAAGCCAGCATTATCCAGGATCATGTCAACTCTTGTAATAGATTCTTTGGTGGTTGTCCTTTTCTTGGAATTTAAAAGCAGTGACCAAAGGTTTTCCATGTCATCCACCAAGATGAAAGATTTAAAATCATTTAAGGACTGCAGAAGGCTGGATTTCTGAGAGTTGTCTTCACCAGCTGAAATGGAAAGGTCACACCTATTTCCCCACAATGAAACCTGAAAAGAAAAAAAAAAGTACACATGCTAAATCTTACTGAAACCAGATACTAACGAAGGTCTTCATGTTGTAAAGATACTGTTTTAGAGCATAGAATGCCCTCATCCCCCCAGATCCTATGTTGAGGGTTCTATTAAAAAACAGATTTCAAGGAAGGGATGATTTCTGGGAAGGGAAACAAAATAATGCTCTCTATTTCCAAAGACAGAACAAGTATGAGATGGAAGGGGGAAAAAGAAAAACCCTTCTCTCATCTTTATCTTGGATTTGTTACAGTTAGGTTCAGTAAATATATGGACTCTAAACACAAGAGAGAGAGACAGAGCTATAAATACTAGGAAGTCTTGGAATAAAAAGGCTGCGTTACTAATGAAGGATAAAAATTAGTTTTAAAAACCTTTTCAATAAATCAGCACATTTACCTGCAACAGCTTAAAAAATTCCTCCTTAAGTTGATTTTCATTTAGGTCCTCTATGTTTTTAAGGAGTTCCTGCAAGTAAGTGCATACAGCAATAATAGCCTGTTGGGATTCAAAAAAACTTTGAATCTTTGCTTCCATAAATGGATCAAAGTCATCAATAGGTGGACTAAAATAAGGAGAGAAAACAAATATGTAAGTATAAAGAATTTAATTTCCAATTTCTTCCCCCACAGAAGATATTCTGAAATTACAACCCAAGTTAAAACTAAAATTCTAAATCTGACCTTCTGCAGTTAACAAGACATACTGGCCCCAGCAGTATAAAAACCTGCCCTGACCAGCAGCTCAGGGCTACTTGCCCTCAGGAGCTTCTGAGGCCCAGCCACTTACTATCTGGGGACACTACCCCTTGTGTCAGCTAGACTGCTGAAGCAGCATCCCAAATGAACTTTTTAAAATACCGAGAGAGAGAGACAGAGAGAGAGATCAGATGGGCACTGTTTTATTGCTATATTTACAATGTTAAAGCAATTTGGAAGCCTACCAGTGTCTCTGGCATCATAATAAAATAAATCCTAAATATCTATATGTTTTAATGTTTGTTTTTGGTTCCCTTATCACATGGTGGGTGTGTGATGGGGGGATGTGGGTCTATGTGGGTAGGTGTGGGGGCTGCTTAGGAGGGGTGAGTCCCCTGTCCCACATAGGGCAGAGCCCCGCCACACAGCACATAGACTACCTTGCCTGCAGGGTCCCACCCCTCCACCCCTAGGGGCTACAGCTCCCCTCCAACCCCCACGCTGGTCTCCAGCCCCATGCTTATTCCACTGCTCCTCTCCAGGCTCCAGAGGCTGGAAACAGCAGGGGAAGTCTCCAGCTCATCTTCAGGGGCTTGTCTCCAGCCTTGGGAGGCTGGACACGAGCAGGGGAATGAGCAGGAGGCTGGAGATGGGTCCCTGGAGACTTTCCCCTGCTGTCTCCAGCCTCCGACTTATTCCCGTGCTCGCCTCAGGAGGCTGGCGATGAGCAGGGGAACATCTCCAACCCCCTGCTCTGTCTCCCATCTTCCAGAGGTTGGAGACAAGCAGGAGAACGAACAGAAGAGTGATCAGAAGGCTGGATATAATTCAGGAATTTCCCAGTGGACACCAGGTTCCTAATCGCTCCCCCACCCAGCTCCAGCCCCCTGCACTATCCACAGCTTAGCAGCAGTGGTGGTGGGGGCTGCTTAGGGCCTCATGGCACAGTCTCCTGCATGGCACGGGGCAGCAAAGCTCAGCCCTGGCTGCCTGGCACCCATGCTGCCACACCACAAGGATGTGGCCCAGCTCTGCAGCACACCACGCACTGTCCCGAAGCTCGGGGGTGCTGTGGCTGTCACTTGGGGCTCAGCACCACTCAGCCCAAGCAGCCAGAGCTCTGAGAAAGTGCGCAGCACCCTGCCAGCCAGGCCGCGCCCGCATGATGCAGCAGGGGTGCCAGGCAGATGCAGAGGGGGCAAGGGCCAGCTACACAGATGCTCTGGCAGGCTACCAGAGCGTCTCTGTGGAGGACCAAACCTCTGGTTGCCCAACCATGCCCTGCCCCACATTTTTCCCCCCAGGGTATTGTTTGACCATAAAGAAATCTAAAACCCTTCAATAGATAGATATTGTTCTTGAAATTTTCAACCAGAACATTTGAAAATTAGTGCACTATAGTATTTGTCTTTTGTTAAACTGAAACAAGAATTTTTAAATTTCTCACTTCCTGCAACATAGTATTCCTTTTGACAAATGACTCAATATTCTAAGCAAATCACAACACAATAATGGGGGGGGGGGGGGGAGAAGAGATCTTCCAAGGCTACTGCATTGTTACAGATTTTCCCTGGCAGATCATTAACATGTTCTGTACATTTCCTGTGGGGACAGATTACACTGAATAGTACATTCTTTGAATAACTAAATGTACTAAGGGATTTTTTAGTTTGGAAAATTTGTCCAGGACATTTTACCCCTACCTGACTTCCAGAAATCTTTTTGTAACTTGAAAAGAAAAGTTTTAGAAGGTTTCTTACACACAGTAAACTTGAAATCACACACTCATTTTAGGCACCTTTTCTTGGTCAGAGTTCTCCAGAATATAGCTTAAAACTATGTATACAAGGCAGGCAAATATTTTTATATGCAGGGTAATATTTTTAGAAATCCCAGAGTCCTACTGCAAGTAAATGGAAAAGATTTCTGGAGTCTTGTGAGAACTGTCATACCTAAAAATATTAGAGGGAAAGGATATTAAAATCTGTAACAAACTAATTCTACTCTCACCATCATTTTCCTCTTTTAGTTCCTACCACTCCTCCTCTAAAGGCCATGGAAGAAGCAGCTATCCAGAATGCAAAGAGCCAATATAAACTCAAAACTTAAATTGTTAGACTTTTTTACCTGCAATTGGTTTAACTTTTTAGTGGGATATGCAGAAGAAAATATGGGGTCAATCTTACATTTCCTTCACAAGAGTGGTTACAGCTGAAATTAAACTAAGGGGTGGAAATGTTGCTAAAATACCATGCTAAGTAGTCTAGCACTGAAATTAACAGAAGAACCAGAAAGCAGATCACAGTTCTAAATTCTGCTAAACATATCTACCTTTTCAGCTAGTAAGTCTCTAGGAAGCATTAATAACTTTCATATCAAGCTGTACTATTTTGCAGAAACCATGGAAATAAACTGCTCTGCAGCAGAGCAGAATAGACGATACTAACTGGAGGACATGAGAGACTAACTTAACGTATACTCCAGTATCTTAAGCATGAAAGAGGAATAAAATGTCCAACTGTCTTGAGGAGGCAGGAGAAGAGAGATGGGAAAATGGTGTGCATTTAAGATGGAACAAAATTCTACCTTAAGCCTCAACTATTATCCCTTTTTCTCCTCTGACCATATTCACACAGACAACAAATAAGAACCACATATAGATTAATACTGTAATAAAACAGAAGTAAGACTTCCATAATACTTACTTATGAATTAGTGCTTCATGAATTCTACGGTACATGTAACATTCTACATATAGCCAAGGGGACTGAAACCAGCTTGGCTGTCCATTTCCATTTGATACATTTCTTTGATATTCTAGGTACTGGTTCCATATTGGAGTATCAGGAAGCTCATCATTCAAAGGGATCATTGGTTTGTCCGTTTGCAATTCATTCCGTAATTTAGAGAGGAAAGATATAGCCCTCTTCTCTGCCTCAACACCTTTCTGAAATCGAACAGAAAACAAATGTCTCCATTTTGAACACACTTTTTTTTGGAAAGCCATGTACTTTATGCCAGCTCAACATTGCTAGAAAGAAAGATTAATTAAATCTTAGTAGTCATAACTGTTACAAGCTCTAAGGATTTTGCACTAAAGTAGTTCAAGTAATGCTCACCAAAGCTTTCATTCCGTATCGGAAATACCAAGATGTTTCATACACATGTAAAAGAGGACTATACAGCATGAAGGCTATTCACCTCCATTTTCAGCTCGGAACTTCTCCCTCAGATAGTAACTATTCTGTTCAATCAAGTGGATGGTTCAATGGGGGGACAACAGCAGCTTAAAATGTTGGCTACCCACCCAAGACCCAAGATGAACATGTGGACAGGGGAAATCAATAAAGTCACAGAAGAAAGACCACAGAAAGGTTCATAAGTGGCAAGAAAAAAATGAAATAGACAAAAGGAAAGCAGCAGCAGCCAGGAATGTGTAGGCAGAAGGAAAAAGAATTAAGAGGCTACATGGGTAAACTGTGGAAGAAAAAAATAAAAGAGGAGAGAATGGGAATAAAAGGAAAGCAGAGAAAAAAAATGTGTTTAGAAAGTTCTCAGTGAGACAGCGGTAAAAAGACAACACTAGTCTTACCTCCCCATGTTTTTCAAAGAATTCATTTTTATGTCGATGTAAAGTATCAATAACTCTGGTTAAGATCTGGGGTAGTCTATCTTTAATTGTAAAATATGCAAATGATCTAGAAAGAAAAAGAGCAAAGCATTGTTTACTCATATTAACAGAATTAATGTCTCTACGGTAGTCATTTTCTCTAAGAAGTGCCCACCCTTAAAAGGACACCTAACAGTTGCTTTTTCTGTGCGCCAAAAAGTGCCAAACTTGGAAGTCCTCCCTCCCTCTCCAAAATGAGCTCAAGCTTAGCTTTTCATTGTATTCACCTTTGGCAAATACAACAATGAATTCCAGAAGAGTGTGTGCTTGCCACACATTCCCACTATCTAGATTAGCTTCTGTGACTCCTTTATTCCTATGGATGTATTGTTTGCCTCTTATCCAGCACTGCCTCCTTTCCCTGCTTCAGACCCCACTCCTACCTACACCCTGCTCTTCTGCACTTCCTTTCACATCTTCTAAGTGAGCTTCTGCTCAGAAAAGCATATGTATGTAGGTAGGTAGTAGGTAGGTAGGTAGGTAAGGTAGATTTGCACCTCATGGACTATCGCAGACCTATCTATCTAGTCTAAAAGGTGCAAATCTACTCTGCCTAACCAGAGACAGAGCCAGAGATGGCCCAAGCTAGCTAGCTTACTATCTCTAATCTCCATCTCAAATCTACCCTGCCTATCTAACTACATAGATGAATAGCCAGATACAGCCCAAGCTACCTCTACCTTGGTTAGTCTGTAAGGTGCAAATCTACCCTGCCCATCAATCTACATTGATCAATACAGCACAAGCTAGCTACCTAGATGGATACAGCATGAGCTAGCTAGCTAATTAGATCCACCTTGCTTAGTCCGTAAGTGGACTACCAAAATTGAGACTGTGCAATTTCCACAGAAATTGGGTTTTGGGTGGGGTCCGCGAAAAATGGGAGGCTCACTGCAAAACATTTACCAGCCAGCAGAGAAACAGCCAGGAAGCCCTGCAGCATCCCGGCAGAGCAGGGCTCCAGCTTCAAGCAGCCCTCCTGCCCCGCTCCAAGACCACGAGGCTTCCCAGCTTTTTCTGTGCGTGTGGGCAACGTTTTTTTGTTTTTGGGTTTGTTTGTTTGTTTTTTTTTCGGGGGGGAGTTGCAGCGAGCCTGCCAAAGTCATGAAGCCTGCTGCTTAGGGACGACCCGAAACTGCGGCTTAATGACCCTGATTAAGCCTGGGGAAGCCATTAATCCATGCTTAATAATAACACACATTCCATTTCCGCACCGCGTCCAACCCCATTTCCCGCCCTCCCCAGTCCCCTTACGGACCCCTTGAACCTGCCCGACAGCGAAACCGGTGCTGCCGCCATTTTCTTCCTCCTCACCGCCCCGGCACCCCGCCCGGAAGTGACGTAGTCTCCCCGCCCGGGACCGTTGGGAGCCGTGGGCGGGCAACGGCGAACGTCCCGCA